ATAATAAATATTACTGAAATCTTAATCAATTACTGACATCACACCCAAAAAATATACATTTGTTCTGAAACAATCTAAAAAATCAATATAATATCAATTTTTTTTAATTAAATTATGTGTATATGAGATACCTTTTACAAATTCAACCATTAGTACATATCATACAAACTAATTAACTGAGATATATATAGAAATGTTGAGAGTTCAGAAGAAGTACTGAATTAAAAATAATTATAGATTTAAGATCTTTTCTTACACTTCTTACTTTAACTTATATTTTCACATGATTATTTGCTTGTATATATAATTAATTAAATGGTTGGTATTTAAATTTGAATAAAAAAATATATAAAAAATTACATAGAAAAGGAGCAAGGGCATTGCACCACTGCCATATGTTGTAAAGGGATAAAGCAGGTACTACAGTGTAGGATGGTCCATGGAAAGATCAATGGACCCCCACCTACCATCAATTTACACTCCCACTTTCCTTTCTGTACTACAAATGATCAGTCATTTCTCAAGTTTCAAGATCCAACCCTTTACTACTATAAATTTGAATTTTATGAACTTAAATCACTTAAAAATCGAATATAATTACTAATAAAAACAAACGTTTTCGGGTTAGAATTCAAAAGAAGTAATGAATTACAACATAAAAAGGGTGATGTCACGTTGTATGACAAGCGGTTAAGAAAGTTTTGGATTACAAACTGGACCACTTTGCTTTTATTTGAGAGAAAAAAACATAAAGTTTGTATGCTGGGACAAACTCACGTGTTGTGCGCGTGACACTCGGAACCACTTTCTGTTTGGGTCTGCTTTCTAGTACTTACTGTTGAACAGAGGTAATCTTTTTACAGTTTTATCGCAACAAGGGCCACACTGCAAATAACAACGGGCGTAGGAAATTTTGTACTTTCCACCACTGTACTTGTACTTTTATTTGCATTCTGACTCATACTTAAAGGGTTTTAATGTTGTTGAATCTTATTTTTTTTCGTATCTTTATAAGACCCTTATGGTCATTACATCATACGTTATTCTCCTACTTGCAATGATAGACATCGTTGGTAAGGTCATGGTCAGTCCTATACAATGATTTGTACACCAATCAATGGTTGGCATTTGGACAAAACCAACCATATGTTCATCAAATGAAACTGATCAAGATTAAATGAAGAAGAATTCAAATCAAAGTATTGATCAAGGTTGCAAGGAAAAAAAGAATGATCTGATCAACGACAGTGTTGTTGATTCAGGGTCAAGATGCAACATACGCATGAAACCCTTATATCTTGGAATAAAGATTGAAACAGTTTTGTGCTGATTTATATACAAAGGATCAAATGCCACCAAAGGGCCTTTTGGTCTAACGGTATTATAGCCTTTGACCTCCTATGAGGTAAGGGGTTCAAACCTCACCATAGGTGAGGAGGGTATGCAAGTTTATTTGTTACATTTTCCGTATATAAATATTATACACTTCAAAAGAAAAGGATCAAAAGCCCATAACAAGGTTGCATGTACGCTCAAAAGTCTTGTCAAGCTTTGTTTTTCGACAGTTTTATCAATTCATTATTTACTTTCTTTATTTCACACTGGCTTTTGTAAATAAGTACTGAATAGACATTTTTCATTGACCGACGAATCCAAAAACAAGTAAGCAAATGGCCAAAAAGATGCGAAGTAAAGAAAAATAGGTGGAATAATGATGGTCCCATTTCTAGAGGGAGAGATGAGATAGGTGTGGGATGGTGCTTTAATTAGAATTAATTCGAAATATAGGACCACCCACCCCAATTCATGACCCTCTTTACAATGAAATTAAAATCTACAAATTTAATACAATATTGCTGTAATTAATTGTACATTATGCATTAAAAGTTGTATATCGTTCTATACTTGAATGTTTTAGTACTGACAGATGTATATAATTTATATTGTATATTATACAAGAAAGTGAATATTGATTTCGTATTTGACTATTCTAACCCCAAAAGAAATTACCCTTTTGCATACATTACCAAAGTACAAGTTTCATTGCATATGGTATTATATCGTTACACATGATTATTCCAAAAAAACAAAAGAAACCCATAAAAGACCGTTTACCAAATGCTTATCGGGTAAGTGTTTACAACAAGAGTTATCACCATTCACTTATCTTATTGGATAACATTACTTTTGCAAATGGGCGGTCCCAAGTTTCACCCAGACTAATCCCATGACAAATCACGATTGTATAGCCGTTACTCACAACCCTGAATTAAATCTCTCAGTGACCATAAGCACATATGTAGATGGTATGATTTGAAACCGGCTGATTTTTATCATTCTTTTGTTTTTATCCACCATACTACCAATTTTGTCTTTATCAAGTAACATTCTTGACCATCAAAGTGGATTGTTGATAAACATCTTTTTACCCGATAAACACTAACAAGATAAGAATGTAAGACTCATGTCCTTGTTAAGCTTCTTACTAGATAAGATTCTCGGTTCTTATTATACTCATTGAACAAGACGAATGATATCCGATAAACACTTACCCAGTAAACATCTAATAAGATTTTTTTTTATAGTAATAATCAAAATTTGTGTACTTTGGATGAATCTTTTGGATCAGAAAAATGAAACCCCACTCCCATGATGAGGTTAAACTCCCCTACTTCTGCAAAAAGACTGGGTTCAAACTGTTGTTTGACTTATGTTTCTTGAAATTTGTGCTCATATATGCCCACAAATCTTTATGAATGCATGTGGGATGTACGTACATGTGTGTGTATATATAGATTGTACTTTGTGTTTATTTTCTAGTACATTTTACGCATAATATACATATATTTATATTTATATATAATGAGAGAATTGGTGTAAGCATGTCATATGGCGGCTTATAACACTCTCATGCATTATATATATATCTTAGAATTTATGTCTTCCTTTTTAACTTGTTTATTTCCTTTTTGTCTATAAAAACAACGCAAATATTCAATATTTAATACATTTGTTTTGTTTTTCTTTTACAAATATATAATTAATATTAATTCTTCTTTTTTTTTCCTTTTGTTTTTTCTTGTATTTATTGCGATGTCCATTAATTTTGACAAAAAAAAGCATTGAAATTGCTTGAATTTTTGCTTACCATGTCAACTCTGTCAAAAAATTAAATAATATTTTGATTATGTGTATATATATATATATATACATACATATATAGAGTTGGGATCACGTGAGACCAGTCTATTTTTGTGAGACCCATAAAACCATTTTTTTACATTTGAAACTTCATAGCAAAACGCTATGAAGGTAACATTCACAGTGTTTTTGTTGTGAATGTTTGTTTTTTTACCCTCTCAGCATTATCTATGAAGTTTTAAGTGTAAAAAAATGGTCTTGCGGATTTCAAGAAAACAATTTGGTCTCATATATATCCAACCCTACATATATATATATATATATATATATATATATATATATATATATACACACACACGTTAGTTTTGTTTGAAATGGAGGGGTTGATATGAATAAAATACAGGTTATTTATTATGTTGTAACTCACTTAAAATGATTTATGTAACAAGTTTTCATGGGTTAATATATACGGGGGTTATATATTTTTATAAAACAAAATATTTTTTTAATGAATATTAATTTTAAATGTTAAATTTGTATAACTTAAAGAAATGGCAATTGTTTTAAGAAAATAAGATTTTTTTTAAATAGATGGAATAATATATAACAAAGGTGGGGGAGCTTTTAATTGTTATTTTATCAATAAAAAACATAGTAAAATTGTGCATAATTTGACTTATAAACTAACAATTTTATTTTGAGTTGTATAAAAATATAAGATATTTTCTTTTAATAAGATTTTAATCACAATTTATCAAGTTGTTTATATTTAACGATCGTTACAAAATTTGAAGTTTTGTTAATATATATATATATATTAATACATATATACGTGTGTGGGGTTTTTTTTAACTTTTTCATTGTCCATGGAAATTTAAATTATTAGCATTATTTATTGAATTTTTTGAATAAATAAATCGGGTTTTGATCTCTTTAATTATTATGTTATTATGAGAGATCAGGGTTAATGAAATAAAAATTCATTTGTCCTGAATATGAGTATATATATATATATATATATATATATATATATATATATAAAAGCAAGAAAATAAACATAAATTAAATAAATTTAAAATGAATAAAAAAATTTATATGTTTTAATTTCATTGGTGAAACATGTAAAATTGGTTTTTTTGTCCATATTAAAGAAAAAATTAAAGAAAAGAGGATAATTTGATCATTTCTTAGGAAATATTTTCTGGACTATATTGACCCTTGTGAGGCCCTTTAGAAAGGGAGTATATAGATACATATATTTGTATGTACATGTGCAACATAATGATGATAATTCCATGAAAGCAATCATCATCATCATCAAACCCCAATTAAATGACCTTTTCTCTACCACTATTTCAGAGAGGGATATCTCATCACATATATCTCTAAGCTTCCCTTTTTCCTAGGTTTTGGGTCTCATGGCATCACTCTCCCTTCACATGTTTTGCTTTTTACACACTACCACCAAAATTTCATAAATACATAAAGGGGTCTCCACTCATCCACACCCACTTCCCTCCGCCGTCACCACCACCACCACCACCACCGGCCACCGCTACTCCAGTTCTATCTCATGTTCCTTTTAGGTTTTGCACTTTCAGGGTCCACTCTCCTTTCCATCACATGTTTTGCTTTTTAACACAACACCAAACTACATAAATACATAAAGGCTGTCCATCCATCGATCCACAACCACCTCCCTCCGCCGTCAACCACCACCACCGTTGAGCCCTCTATCCCATGTTTCTTTAGGTTTGTTTACAGTCAGGAAGAAAGAAGATATCAAGAAAGATTCTTTTCTTTAATCTTTTTGGGGTTTATTTCATATCGTTATCATCATAATGTTTTGATGATTTGAAATGGTTGAAGAAGGGAAGATCATAGAAGGAAACAATATGATGGTGGGAACCGCCACAAATTTTGATCCTTATGTTAACTCATCAAGTAACCCTAATACTGATGTTAGCTATGGAGGAGGAACACACACTTCAGAGTTCTTCAACTTTGATCAACACAACTCAGTGAGTCACAACTCAGATCTCTTCTGGAAACCATCTTCTCCAAAACCCATCATGATTCCCGGCGGTGGCGCTGCCGCCGGAGATTTCTGTCAGTTTGACGAGTCGTCTCTCCAAAGATGTGTTTTAATCCCATGTGAACCAAACGAAAGACCAAGTCAAGGTCTTTCTCTTTCTTTATCTTCCACCAATCCTTCCACCATTGGAATTCAACCATTTGAGCTTGTAAGACCACCACAAGATCATCATCATCATCATCAACAACAACAACAACACCAAGGGTATTTCGGGAAACCCATGAATATGCATGAACAACATGATATGATGACAGATGATCAAGATGATGAGTTTTTGAGAAAATCAGGAAATATTATGAACAGTGGTTCAGGTGGTTCTCAACATCAAAGCGCACAGTATCACATAAGAAGCTCAAGGTACTTGGTACCTGCACAAGATCTCCTCAATGAGTTCTGCAATCTTGGAACAAAGCAAATCGATCGTTCAACCAAGGCAAAAAGAACCAGTCAGTGGCAAGATCATGATAATTTGAATCATAGCAATGCAAGTTCTTCCAAAAATAAGCCATTAAATTCTCTTGAATTCCTGGAACTGCAAAAAAGAAAATCAAAGCTCCTTCAAATGCTAGAAGAGGTACAAATTTCTCCATTCTTTTGGGTATTATTTATTTGAATTTCACAGAATTATCCATCTAAAATAATCACTTTAATTGATCGCAATACATACAATCACTGTTTATTTTTGATCTTCTTTTTCTTTAATTTCAAGAATTAAAGATTCCTTATCTTTTAATTTGATTTACAACTAATTGAGTGACTACGAGTCTTTCCATTAATGCCCACATGGTGACAAGTTTTGCTGCTTCATTTAATTCCAGAAACCTCCATTCTCGATCCTTGAAATTTTGGTTTTTAAATATGATTTTGTGTTTTATATATTTATTGACTTAAAAACCCAGAAATAATATCTCATTTACTTTTGTTTTTATTGTTTGAAACAGGTGGATAGAAGATACAATCATTACTGTGATCAAATGAAGGCAGTGGTTTCATCCTTTGAAGCAGTGGCTGGTAATGGTGCAGCAACAGTTTATTCAGCTTTGGCTTCCAAGGCAATGTCAAGACATTTTAGGTGTTTGAGAGATGGAGTTGTAGGTCAGATCAAAGCCACCAAGAAGGCAATGGGAGAAAAAGACATTTCTGCCCCTGGTGCCACAAGAGGAGAGACTCCTAGGCTAAGGCTTCTTGATCAAACTTTAAGGCAACAAAGGGCTTTTCAACAAATGACGATGATGGATAGCCACCCTTGGCGCCCCCAACGTGGCTTGCCCGAGCGATCCGTCTCCATTCTTCGTGCTTGGCTCTTCGAGCACTTCCTCCACCCGTAAGCTGAATCCCACCCTCTTAATTAGTTTCCTTCATGATTGAACCGTTTATTTCATCGAACAACCTAGAAACGTATGTAAGCGAAACTTGATTTTCTTGAGTAAAGGCTTAAATATTAGTGAAATTATTTTACAATCTCCCCTCAATCATTAGTTGTCACATATCCCCATTTTGATTCCTAAATTCATTTTTGTCATATTATCCCATCAAAAATTTGTTTTAGTTATATTATTTTGGCCTTGGGGCCTTACTCTTGTGTTTTCTTGTGGATTTGATTCCTATACATCTTTCTTATAGGGACCATATATATATATATGTGCCCTTTCTCTACTCTCATCCACAAAATTATTTTTTTTAAGAGTTTTATTTTCGTTAATTAAAAAATTCTCAAAAGTTACGTTAAAATATTAAAGTGGTAACAAATCAGACTATCTCATTTAACTCGATATATATTGAACTTGACGTTGTCTAAAAATATTGCAGGTACCCTAGTGATGTCGATAAACACATTCTGGCCCGGCAAACTGGACTCTCGAGAAGCCAAGTATGTCCATATCGACCTGTTTTTACATTTATGAATACCCGTTTACTAAAGAATGGATTGGTACATGTGATGAGTGCCAAACGTTGGAACCATATAGTTTGTAGTTCTAGCATGCAACCGATACTTGTACATGTGATGACTGCCAAATGTTGAAACCTCAAGTTCTTCGTTAATTTGTAACGACTTTTTTTAATTTAATTGAGCGCAGGTATCGAATTGGTTCATTAACGCACGGGTTAGATTGTGGAAACCGATGGTGGAGGAGATGTACGTGGAAGAAACAAAAGAGAATGATAACGAAAACGATGAAGATGTCCATGATAGATCATTCAATGTTGCCATTGACGAAAACAATGCAATCCCACAAATGGAGCAAAAACCGACGGTTGAACAGCTTATTCGGAGAGATTCCGAGTGTCTTTCTTCCATCATAAACCACCACCACCATACGACAAAAACCCTTGATCATGATTTCCACCAAAATTTCACAAGGGTGTCATCTGAGCCTTTTGGTGCAGTAGAGCTGGATTTTTCAGCATACAATCACAGTTTTGGTGGTAGTACTGGTGGTGGGGTTTCTTTGACCTTAGGATTACAACAACATGCTGGTGGCGGGGGCGGCGGTGGGGGCGGAGGAGGTGGTGGTGGGGTGTCCTTATTTTACCCAAGAGACCACATGGAAGATTGCCAAACTGCAGTACAGTATTCTTCTCTTTTGGAGGGTGATCAAGGACAGAATCTGCCTTACAGGAATTTAATGGGGGCACAACTACTTCATGATTTGGCTGGTTAGGAACATATTGATTATATCTTCCTTTATATATATAACTTAAAAAGAAAAAGAAATATTGGGTTTAAATTAATTATATATGGATTCTAAGGAAAGGGTATACTTGATTGGGGTTAGATTAATTATTTTACAATCAAAGTTTGAAGCTTTTTTGTTGATTGAAAGGCTATTCTGGTAATTTTTATTCTTTAGCTATATTATTTGGCCATGGCAGTAAAGAAATTAGGGGAAAATTTTCATCGATTCAATGCATGAATATACGGCTTTCTCCTTTAGACATCTAGATTCCTTGGTTTTTTTAAAGTGGTGATCGCCATTAATAGGATGTATATATTTTTATTGTTTAAAGTAGTTAAAATATATATATATACATATATATATATATATTTATATATATATATATATATATATATATATATATATATATATGAGCGATCAAATGAAAACCACTCCAATTTGTAAAAACCGTAAAAACTACTATCTTCCGTCGTTAATCTTATGAAATTTTTTCATGAAATTGTTAATCTTGTGAAATTGTTTCATATAATACTTTTTTGATGAAGTTGTTTCATATGTGGTTATGAAATTGTTTCATATACTACTTAATGAAATTTTAATGAAACTGTTTCATGTATTTCTCTAAAATTAAATTAATGAAGATGATAATATCCATGATTAACACCCTCCACAATAAAAATGGTAAATCAACCTCTCATAATTACAAAAAAATGAACAAAATAAAAAATTATGATTGGTTAAATGAGGTTTTCACGGTTTTTACAAATTGAGTGGTTTTTATTTGAACCCACCCCTATATATATAGATATATATATATATATATATATGAGTCTAATCAAATGAGAATTAATTAGTTTGTGATAACCGTGAAGTCTATTCTCAACTACAAATTAATAGATAAATTAGGAAATTTATAATTTTGGTAATTTTGAATTAAAATTTTAATGCAAGGACATTTTAGGTATTTTAAAACTCTCATCTCTTCTCTCTCCGTCCCCCGTCCTCCCGCCTCTGGCCTCTTGCCACCGTCCTCCCGTGATATACCACATTGGTATCTCAATGCATCTTATATGTGTTTGGGTATCACATTGAGGTCGTTTGTGTGGTTGATCGAAGATGCAACATAGTGGTATCACAATGGATCTTATATGTGCTTGAGTATCACACTATATCTTTTGTTTAACATAGTCAATATTTTTAGGTATCACTAGAGGATGGTAGCAGGAGAACGGAGGACAGGGGACGGAGAGAGAATAGAAGAGATGGGAGATAAAATACCTAAAATATTCTTACATTAAAATTTTAATCCAAAATTATAAATTTCCTAATTTATCTATTGATTTATGGTTGAGATTAGATCTCACAAACTAGTCAGTTTTCTCTTAAATGAACTCATATATATATATATATATATATATATATATATATATAGACACACACACATGGGATCATGTGAGAGAGAGTTGTTTTCGTAAGACAACGTTTTTACATGTGAAACTTCACAGCAAAACACTGTGAAAGTTTGACTTTTTTTTACCTTCACTACATTTTGTTGTGAAGTTTCAAGTGTAAAAATGTTGTCTCACATGTTTTACGAAAACATGCTGGTCTCACATGAACCCAACCCTATATATATACTCACGTGTCTCATGAAAACATGTTGGTCTCACATGAATCCAACCATATATATATGATCAATGAAAATATGGTCAAAATAAAATAACAAGAAAAAAACAGTTAAATCACATGTAATTATGTAACGCAATTAACACAAAAGTGAGCAAGTGACCTGACTAACAATCACGTTTAGTGTAAAATCACACACACACACACACACACACACATATATATATATATATATAGTTTCATTTTCGTGTTCTATTATTTAGTTATTGTTCTCGTATGAATATGATCCTTCCTCTCTATATATAAATACATAGTGGTAGGTTCACATAAGAAAGACTAAATATCTTGTGAAAGTAAAATGAGAAGGTTCATGTGTGAATTATTAAAAATTCCATTTTCAGATGTGTATATGAACCTTTATGGATATTCTGTAATGTTGGTTTATATATGCATTTTCAAATAGATATTTTTGTAGTTTTTCAATTGATTCACATATCAACTTGCCCTTTTAACTTCATTTTCTTACATTATTACGATATTTAATCTTTTTATTTGAATCGATATATATATATATATATATATAATTACCATCCCTAAACTCGAAAAATTATGGACATACTCCTCATTAAGATCCCTCTCATTAACGGCAGCTAGACAAATTTACTAATTCAGTCAACTCAAGGATTAGAAGACCAAAATGTCATTTGTTCTTTGTCATGTTCATATTAGAAAACAACACACACACACACACACACACGTATGCGAATGATCATGTAAAAAAGAAAGTTATGGTAAGAAATATAATGAAATATCTGAACCCTTAATCTCTTTTAATCTCATACCAATTCATGAATTGTGCTTTAGAAAAGAAATGATATTGTGCATCATGGTGCACCTCATTAATGTTGAAATTCAATTAGGATTTATCCAATGGTTAGGATCTCTCCTTACATTTCTCATAGTAACTTCTCTTCTCACCGGAACCCGACCTTATATATATATATATATATATATATATATATATATATATATATATATATATATATATATATATCCCCACAAAATGTATACATAGACGAAGAATAAGGGGACGTCACCTAAAAGGGGGTTGTGAGTCCAGAGACGGGGTATGTGGCTTTCCAGTTGGGGGTGATGGTTGTAGTTGACGATAGCTATGAGCCGGAGGTGATGGGAAGACATTGATCAAGAGCAGGGCGACAGGTGGGGGAAGGCTTCTCCGAAGAAGGAGACCAACGTTGTCTTATTTCTATATATTATATTTTTATCTTTAACAGGAAAAAGGCAAAAAAAATATGCGTAAAAAGACCAAAATGACCTCTGACTTAACAAGATTAACGAATTTGTTTAACGACCATTAATGAGGGAGACCTTAATCATAAGAAAATGATAACCATATCCACAATATTTCGAGCTCAAAAACATTAGTCATAATTTTTAAAATACCATATAAACCAAATCCGTAATTCACTCAAAAGTTTTATATTTAATTAATTATTATTTTATTTTTTTTGCATTTAAAATCAGATTATTTATTTATATTGGGGTAAAAAATACCGTATGGGGCTCGCACGTGCGAAAACGGCTCAGGTTGTGGATCGAAAGCAATAATATGATTACGTGTTCGACCCTTTGACCCATCTGGTGGTCTCTCTTCACGATCTATTCAAGTTTCAACTCTCACAGCTGCGTTTCAAATAATCGCTCGTTAGGGCTTTTTCTGGTTCTTGATTCATCCTAATTTTCACTAATGATTTCTTCGTATCACACGTAACTGCGACTACTACAGAGGTAATATGATCATCGATTTTCAGTTTTATTGCGTTGCGTATCGAGCTAATTTAGTCTGCATTGAGTCATTGATTGATCTGCGCTTAATCTGAAGATTCGATTTTTCTGTAGGAATTCCTTTTGATGTTTTGTTCCTTGATTAAGCTTGAAGATTTTTTCTTAATCTGGTTGTTTTGCTATTTTGTGATGGATTTTGCAGATTCTTAACTTGTTCTTTTTGTTTATTGATCAATTGTCGAACTGCTCTAGTTAATGAAGAAGATGGATTTGATGTCTGGTTACAAGGTAATTATTGAGGTTTAATGTATGAAATTACAGTGCTGTTTTTCGTGTTTGCTTTTGAAATTTTGAATGTTTTTATGCCTGACAATGAGCTTATACTAAATGTACAGGGAGTTGTTGGGCTTGTATTTGGAAACGAGAATTCAAGTTCCAACGAGGATAGGTTTGTTTTATTTTTAGAATTGTTAAGTTAAAACGTAATTATGCATTGTATATCCCATTGTGCACTTTGGTTTGTTTGGTATCTAGTTCATAGTTCAATTTATGATGGCTAGACTTGTTTATTTCATCTTATTTGCCAAAAGCAATGGTGCAAATTCTTGAGTTCAATTTGATCTTTTTAAAGCGATGGTGTGATTGTGATTGTGATCTGACCTGTGGTCGGAATGATCATCACAGATCCGATAAATGTTATCTTTGATGTGGATTGCCGTTCTCTTGCTATCTATATTATCATTCATGAAGACCCCATTATCTACTTCTTCTGCACAGATGGGCGGCGGTTCTGATAATGGCCATCATAACTGCTTATCCATTCCCTTACAATATGAACAAATTAAATCATATCCAATTATTTATTCAAGTAGGCAATAGCGTACTACATAGATGAATTCCTTACTAACACAGACATGTTTGTTATAGAACAGCTGATCAAATTATGATCTAATTCAGTTCTGAATTGCTTTTCTTTTCTCTTCCATGGCTGATGTACTTTATGGATGTCAATTGTAGCTATGTTGAACGCTTGCTCGATTGTATAAGTAACGGTAAGCTGGCAGAGGATAGAAGAAATGCTATGGCAGAGCTTCAATCTGTTGTTGCAGAAAGTCATGCTGCTCAGCTGGCTTTTGGAGAAATGGGTGAGTACAGGTTGGCTGTATAATGGTATCTCAGGTTCTTATTTGTCCATAACGCAATGCATTATTGTCTATCACAGGGTTTCCTGTACTACTGGGTGTTCTAAGGGAACGCGACGATGTTGAAATGGTTTGAACGCTTCTGCCAACAGCTTCTGTTTTTTGGTGGTTATCTAGCAGTTTTCTGATTCACTTTAAATAATATGATATATGTTGTCCTGTTTTATAACTGGAGTACAGATTGGTTTACAATTTAAGCATCTTAGACCCCAGTGAGTTGGTTGGGTAGCCACTTTTGTACATTGAGCTTCTTAGATGTTTATTTTCCTTTTGCTATATGCATCTAAGCATGAATCAATAACAAAGTTAAGACTGCAAGTCATCAAGCTGTCTAGGAATCCGTGGTCCGTCACTACAAGGGTAACCCTCCATCATGCACACACATCATTGTTGGACCATGAGGTTGTATAGTTTTGTAGGATTTGAAGAAAGAGAGACAGAAGCCATGAGACATGGTCTTTTTGTACATCTGTGTTATGCATTAAGAGGAATACCATGTGACACGTGTTCTTTTTTATTAGATGCATTTTTACATGTGCCTAGGTTGTGTGGCTGTGCATATAATAGGGCTCTTTTCATCTGTTTTTCCTGTAACAGGCTACAATAACTCTTTGTTAGAGTATTTTCAGATGAGTATTACGTCCAATACTCAATAAGAAAGGCTTATAGTTAGAAAATTATATATATACATATATATAGGGATTAGGAGATATTATTTTGTATGCTTAGTTTTATTGAGATTCTACTAAAGATTGGATTAGGCATCATGGAGATAAACTTACCTTTCAAAAGTAAGCCAGTTTTGTTGATTATCATTGATTATGCTCAGTTTCTCTTCTGGGTTCTATCAAATTGGTATTAGAGTGGCATAGTTCCTGGGACAATGGCAGCAAAGAAGGTAGAAGACTTAGAAGAAAAGATGGTGCTTGAAATAGGGGGAAGTAAGAGCCATGATCCTTCACAAACTCAAGATTACAAGGCTTTCATATAAAGAGACCAAACTCATTCTAGACTTTTTCTTCAAGACTCAAAGATACAATACTGATTATATACATAGATCTTCTAAAGGTCTCTTGTAATATTGCTCACATAAATGGATAGTTTAAAGGTCTCTTGTGAAAGACTATTTCTGCTGTAATGGTTCTTTTAGAATAATCTTGGTCTTGGTAGATTAGTCTTGACCATTCAACACAATAACTCCAACACTTCAACATTTCTCTTAATAAATTTCCACCATCTCAGTTTCCACCTACAAGCTACATCCTACACAAGCTTCAAGAATAGAGAAGATGCCTTGAAACCGTAGAGGAGGGGGCACAGGGAACTATTGGGTTTTGTATGTTTGCTTTCGGTTTGCCACTTTATGATTTATTTTGGTTTCAGATTTCTTTTGGGATAGAAGAGTTGTTTAAAAAACTTATTCTTGTTAGCTTCTTTGAGCGTGAATTAGTTACAGATTGTCCCTCAAGTTTAGTACTTCTTGAAGAAATTAAAGAAAAATAAATAGTGACTGAGAACGTTCAGTGCATCTAGGTGTCTGTGGTTCTTTTCCTGCATCTTAACTTGACTTCCAGCATTAATAAATACTGTTTTTTTCTTTTTATCTTTTAAATCATATTATGGTATAACCAATTTCAATTAATAAATGCTATGTATTGATGAATTTTCAAAGGTTCGAGGGGCTTTAGAAACTCTTGTGAGTGCCTTAACACCAATTGCTCATCCGAAACTGCATGCAAATGCGGTTCAACCAGCTCTGATGAACACTGATCTTCTATCTAGAGAAGGGCAAAGCATTTCTCTTCTTTTAAGCCTGCTGGTAAGGCTTCTATATCTTGATCCTATTATATCGCTGACAATGTATTCTAGATTTGGTTGTTCTATGGCTCTGTTGGTAATCAAGTATCTTGACAGTCGGAGGATGACTTCTATATAAGATATTACACGCTTCAACTTTTGACTGCTCTTTTAACAAATTCTCCCATTAGGTATGTGTCTCTAGCCACTTTCTCCTGGTTTATTCTAATTTTTATTTAATAGCTAGTATTAGGTTGGAAAGATATACTGAGGTCTTCTTCAGATTACAGGAAGCCATTCTTACTATCCCTCGTGGTATAACCCGGCTTGTGGATATGCTTATGGACCGGGAGGTATGAACTGGTATAGTCGTTGAAATCAATAAATATGTGTGATATTTGATGCTTCTTTGTCCTTAAAACAATGTTGATTGCTTTGTAGGTCATACGAAATGAGGCCTTGTTACTTCTCACCTACTTGACCCGAGAAGCAGAGGTAATTTTTCCCTGTTTACCTTTCTACTTCTATATTCGATAATAAAGTTTCCTTCTTTATATTTTCCTGCCTAATTTCTTCGGATTACTGCACTAGGAAATCCAAAAAATATTGGTCTTTGAAGGTGCTTTTGAGAAGATTTTCAGTATCATTAAAGAGGAGGGAGGTTCAGAAGGTGGTGTTGTTGTGCAGGTGATTAGTTGACTCCTCCGCAATGGTTCTTTGCTCATTCCATTAGAAAAAAATTAAAAATTGCTTTATATTGGTGGAAATAAATGGAGCTCCATTGCTTGGAATGTTCGTTGACGATGGTTAGGTTGCATGTATAAACTTTGTAGTGCTATCAATTTTGAGTGTTTGCCCTCATCCTTATTTGAGAAGCAACAGCTCATCTTTCCATAAGAAACTGTTTCTAATTTCCAAGTGCTTTTACACCTTTCTGCTTTCTGTTGTTATTGATCAATTGTTATGTTGAAATACTAAATCTGTTCCAATATTTGTAATCTTACAGGACTGTCTTGAATTGTTAAATAATCTCATTCGCAACAATGCATCTAATCAGGTTTGGTTTCTTCTTTGGAGTATTTACAGATTGAAGCTTTCCATTCATTCTGTTGCTTTTTACCACCGTATAGATGTTGTATAGGTGTTGCTGAGGGAGACTGTAGGCTTTGACTCATTGATATCGATTTTGAAGCTCCGAGGAACCACATACAGCTTTACTCAGCAAAAGGTGAGTGCTTATTAGTTTGTTTAGCATTATCTTGCAGTGTTGTATGTCTGCATTGCCTACCTACCTTACCTTTTATATCACGCTTTTTACAGACTCTAACTTTATCTTAGAAGACTTATTAGTTGCTTTCCTGTGTCTTTCAATGAAATTGATGCCTGTAGACGATCAATCTACTGAGTGTCTTAGAAACAATTAGTTTGCTGCTGAATGGAGGTCTGGAAACTGATTCTGCGAGCAACAATAATAGATTGACAAACAAAACAGTTCTTGTCCAGGCTAGTTTCTGAACTTCAGTTGTGTCATTTAGTTGCATAAATAAACTTTGTGTCTTCATCACTCATTTTTTTCCCTTCTCTTATCATTGTAGAGAAATGTTTTGGACCATTTACTGATGCTAGGTGTTGAAAGTCAATGGGCCCCTGTTTCCGTACGTTGTGCGGTAAGATAACTTCTTCCAGGTGCCTATGATGAAATGGTTTATATATACTTGCTACTTAGTTAATTGGGGAGGATGGGCATTTTTTTCCTGTTTCTGATAAAAATGTTTAGGTACAGGACAGCTGCACAGTCTTTGCCAGTAAAGTACTGTAACATAAAGTCTTGTGTTTGACAGAATCGAGACACCCTTCATCATATGATCTACAATCTGTGATCTAGAAACTTTTTTGCACAATTATTACATTAACTTTTAAGTTCCCATAATTCTTTCCAAAAGTTGGGGCTGGTTCAGATGCATATAACAATTCTAACATGTATTACTCATATAACATGGTCAGGCCTTTCAATGCATAGGTGATCTGATTTCTGGACATCGTCAGAATCTTGATTCCCTTGCAAGTAAATCGCTTGGTGATGAACTAGAGGTTGAGCCAGCTCTGAATTCAATCCTACGGATAATCTTACGCACTTCAAGCATGCAAGAGTTTATTGCAGCCGACTATATTTTTAAGAGCTTTTGCGAGGTTTGTATCATATGCATTTTCTCAGAATGAGTTTTCTCATTATTATTTATTTTCTTCCATGTGTGTAAAGAGTTGATTCTACATTGTATCTAATAACCAAATTCACTTGCTACACTTTGCTTGATCAGCAAAACAGCGATGGTCAAAAGATGTTAGCATCTACTTTAATTCCTCAGCCTATGTCAATGACCAATGCTCGATTTGAGGAGGATGTGAACATGTCCTTTGGAAGGTATGTCTTTGCAATTTTTATACAGAGATTTTCTTCTCGCAGATCAATACATACATGCTCTCTCTCTCTCTCACACACACACACCCCGAATCTTGCTCAAACTTGTTTATGTTGCAGCATGCTGTTGCATGGCCTTGCCATGAGTGAACATGATGGTGACCTTGAGGTAATGTGAACTTTATTCTAATCTACATTTTCTTAAGAATAGTTTTCTTTCTTAACAAAATGTTCTCTATCAGCTCCACTCCTGATTTCATAAAATTTTGTGCAATTTTCTTGAGGATAGAATGTTGCCTAAATCAGAGGCGGACCCAGAACTTTTTTCAAGTGGTGGCACAATTTGACTATAAAAAATATCTACTTTTTTCACAATATTAGTATAGATCTGTTGGTTTTTTGACCTTTAAAAGAGACCCATATTCAAGTCTGATCTACATATATTTTTAAAAACACAAGAGGTACATAAAAAAAACTCCAAAATTTAAGCTAAAAAATTAACAAATTTTATAACTATGGGATTCAGAATCTAGGCCTTTTGTAGATAGGCAGGAGCATTTACCATCTTAGCCATTAAAGTCTTGTGCTAACATTTCAGTTTCAAAAACTATATGGTGGCATCCAACAAAACAATATGGTGGCACCCTTCAAAAACATAATTTTTTCCCCTTACGACCGAATCATGAAGCGGTGGCCCGTGCCACCGTATCATTCCATGTTGGTCCACCCCTGGCCCAAATAGACTATTGTATTCTCTCTTCTTAATTTTCAGTCAGTCTTATTTCATGCTTCCATTGAGCTGATGTGAGCAGAGGCAGCATAGTTCTTACATTGTTGAGCACAAGTATTATACGGTTTGTCTTTTGCAGACTAGTTGCCGAGCTGCTAGTGTTCTTTCTTATGTAATGAAGGATAATATTGAATGCAAGGAAAAGGTACACGAGCTCATGCTTTAGACAGCTCTTGCTATTTGAGATTGTTCATAATTGTTTTCTTTCTTGGCCCATTTTTATGCAGGTTTTACAAATTAAACTCGAGTCATCAATGCCCTCATTAGGATCCCCAGAACCCCTATTGCACCGAATGGTAAAATACCTGGCTCTTGCATCTTCCAAGAAAGTCAAAGATGGAAAATCAACTACTCCAAGAAATTCATATTTCCAACCAATAATCTTGAAACTGCTTGTCACATGGCTCTGTGATTGCCCAACCGCGGTGCAGTCGTTCCTGGAATCACGTCCCCATTTAACATATCTAATTGAGTTAGTATCAAATGGCGAGACAACAGTTTGTGCAAGGGGTTTGGCAGCTGTTCTTTTAGGGGAATGTGCTATTTATAATAAAAGCAACGAGTCTGGAAAGGATGCTTTTACCATAGTCGATGCCATAAGCCAAAAAATCGGCCTTACATCTTACTTTCTGAAGCTTGATGAGATGCAAAAAAGCTTTCTGTTTTCAACTGCAAAGCCAACTCAACCCCGTAAACCATTGACAAGATCAACTGCTAATAGTATGGCGGAGATGGAAGATATCGAGGAAAATGAGGCAACTGATAACCGGAATGATGACCATCCGATGCTTGCTTCAATGTTTGATTCTCAATTTGTCAACTTCATCAAGAATTTGGAAGTTGGTATTAGAGATTGCATTGTGAAAATATACAGTCATCCAAAGAGCAATATGTCGGTGATGCCAGCGGCATTGGAACAGAGGAAGGATGAGATGGATGGGGACTATATCAAGCGGCTCAAATCCTTTGCGGAGAAGCAGTGCTCTGAGATACAGGTAAATTGCATAAGTCTTGTTTTCTTGATTAATTTTTAGGATACTTTTTTCTTTAAGTATATAATATCTTTTTTTTTTATTAACCTGGATATCCAACTCGCTATATGAGTCGACTAATCCCAGGGCGACCACCTCTTTGCAGGTATATAATATCTTTAATACCGCAAATACCAATTCCAACTGATAATTATTCTTACGACCAAAATAGACTTCATGGAAACAACCACTCTACTCTTTGGGGTAGAGGTCAGGTCTGCGAACACGTTAAGTCCTCCTGACCCCACCCCAGGTGGGGCGTACTGACCTCGTTTGGCTTGGTTTGGTTTTAACCAGACAGTCTGTTAGCAACTACCTAGCCAAGTATAGCCAAGTAATCCCAATATTGATTGAAACTCCCAAAATTTGGCTCATTCAATTTCTAGAATTATTCTGGATTTTCTTTTTCTAGGTTCTAGTTTCTCCTCCCTTCATTGTGTTGGCCAACCCCCATTTGAACCTCAAATTTCTAGAAACATTCTGGATTGTTTTTTAGCTCTAGTTTATCTCTCGTGATGACCAACCCTTCACTTAAACCCTTCCAATTTCTAGAAATTTGCTGAATTGTTTTCTAGTTCTAGTTCACCTTCCCTCTGTATGGTGGTCAACAGATGGATAACCGACGTGGAGCCACACTGCAACCTAGCCAAGAGGATGCGACTCCATTCAGTCATGGAATCAGGATCAGATTAACATGAAAATAAGAATTCATGATTTGTTAAGTCACATTTATCTGGTTCTATTAAGAGAACCAGATCAAACATGGTTGTTAGCAGCTTAATGAGCTTAATGGGACTCGCAGTTTATTCGGTCAACTATACATGACTGTTTGGTAGTGACTTAATGATATAGAAAGTGGCGTATTCATCAACCTTCTAGGGAAGCTGTATGTAAAAAAAGCCGAGTCTTTCAAACCTGCCCCTCCCAATTAAAAAACACGCTTCTTCCATCAATTAAAAAAACCCTCCCAAACAAAAACCTTCATAATCTTGAGACAAATTAACCCACACATACAACTTTATCCATACATAACTTAACATAAAACCAAACAAAGTGCCCCTAAGAACAGCAAATTAGGAATCTTATAGATATAAACTTACTATGATTAAGGGTCTGCTTGTTAGCAGCTTAATGAGGCTCGTAGCTTATTCGGTCAGCTACATGTAACTGTTTGGTATTGGCTTAATGATATAGAAAATGACTTATTCAGTAAGCTTCTAGAGGGGAGCTGTATACAGAAAGCCAAGTTTTTGCCAAACTTGTCGCTCCCAATTAAAAGAACATGCGCTTCTTTCATCTATGAAAAAACCTTCATAAACAAAACCTTCCCAATGTGTACGGACAGGTTAATCCACATAGATAACTTTATCCGTACAAGACTTGATGAAAAAACCAAACAACCCCTAAGAGGCTTCTACCGGTTCTGTCCTTTCTAACTGCCAAATATATAATGTCAGCACTACTCGGATTGACAAAATCGTGCACATTTGATAAAAGTAGGAAAAACGAAGTGAAGCCGACACAGGAAGATCATCATGCAGTTTAGCACTTCAATTCTAATATTATTTACCCTTTTCACTTATTTAAACAGGACCTTCTTAATAGAAATGCAACATTAGCCGAGGACCTAGCCAATACCGGCGGTGGTGGCACCACCCGCAGCGAACCTAGCGGTGGTGGCGGCTCCGAGAGGGTCCAATTAGAGAAGCTTCGAAGAGATCTTCAAGAAGCCTCCCAACAGCTGGAAATGCTCAAAACTGAAAACTCAAAAATCGAAACCGAAGCCTCATCGTACAAAACCTTGGCGGAAAAAATGGAAACCGATCTGAAGAGCCTCTCGGATGCCTACAACAGCCTGGAACAAGCGAATTATCATTTAGAAATGGAAGTGACGGCATTGAAGAGTAGCGGGGCTGTTCCAAGCCTGAATATCGAGAAAATTAAAGCGGAAGCACGGGAGGAAGCGCAGAAGGAGAGCGAAGGAGAACTGAGCGATCTGCTCGTTTGTCTTGGTCAAGAACAGAGTAAAGTCGAGAAATTGAGTGCGAGATTGATGGAGTTGGGAGAAGATGTTGATGCGTTGCTTGAAGGTATTGGAGATGATACCGGAATACCAGACGACGATGACGAAGACGAAGACGAAGACGACGATTGATAGCTGGTATGGTTGTGTTTCGATTATTTAAGTAAATTACAAACTTGCCCTTTTGCTTTCGTCAACTTTCAAATATGTATCGTGTTGGGATTTTCTTTTGTACATTCTTTTGCGTGAATTTGTACAGCTTGTCATCGTTATATCTGACACTTGAAGTTCAAGACGAATGTACCAGTGTTTCAACTCAATAAGCCGAACGAAATCTTCAATCCTGAGGGTGCGTTTTTAATGTACCGAGAGAGGACGACATTACAGGAAAAAAAACTTAAACTTCAAGGATTATCACCTTTTGAAGTTCGGATTCTTCAACAACAAAATATTTAACCATATAATAATATTTCAAGATCAAGGTTCGAGACATACTATACGACATCAAATATGGTTTATATTTAGAAGGTGGTTGATACTCAGTAAAGAGAGTCCAATCCAAAACCACTTTAATAAAATAGTAGAGGCTTACTCGTGCAATGCAGCGACATACATCGTGATTTTAATATTTCATTTTATTCTTTATCTCAGTCGATGTTATAATATAGTTTTATGTGATTTTGAGAAAGCGATGATATTTTTATTTTTGAATAAAATATATGTTTGAAGATATCATAAAAATTTGACAAAAATATATCGATATTAGTATCAAATTAACTATTTGAAATTCCTCATTTTTTTGTTTAATTTTTTTATAATTTAATTTATGTACAATAACGAAGTAATTTATATTTGGTTTAATAATATAATTTTTTAATAAAGATAATAATTATTTATTTTGTTGGAACTCGATAATTATTCTAATTATATTTTAGATTTTTTATATTTTAAAATGAGATGTTCATCCTCTATTTGATTATGTTTATCCGCAGTTATTTATATGAATTCAAACATCGAGCTTTAATAAGTTGTACTTATGCATAATTACTTGTGATCTTGAATTTTAAGTAATATGCATTAATATACAGTATTTTATGCATAACAAAAATATATCGATATTCGTATCAAATTAACCATTTAAAATTTCTCATTTTTTGTGTAATTTTTAATTTAATTTCTTTTATAATTTAATTTAGGTACAATAACAAGTAATTTATATTTGTTTTAATAATATAATTTTCTTATAAAGATAATAATTAATTATTTTGTTGAAACTTGATAATTATCCTAATTATATTTTAGATTTTTTATATTTTAAAATAAGATGTTTATCCTCTATTTGATTATGTTTATCCGCAGTTAGTTATACGAATTCAAAAATCGAGCTTTGATAAGTTATACTTTTGCATAATTTACTTGTAATCTTGAATTTTAAGTAAACATTGGTTCTATTATCTACAATTAGTTACACGAATTCAGATATGTGATRAAATCAAATAGGGATGAACGGGTTTAAGAGTTTTTAAGAGTTTTAGCCAAATGTTTTATAAAATAGTATAGATTAATTATATAAATATAATAATTGATTATAATTATAACGGGGTGGACAGGGCTCTCCGAATTCTCATCGCTGTCCGCTCATTAATGTGAACACTTCCGCCCAACCCCGTCCATATTTCCTACATCGTCGTCCAAGCCTGCTTTTCTATTCTAACAGGCCAGACGGGCCGAGTCTAGTCTAGTGGTCGAGTTCCAAATGATTTTCAAAATAAACTCACCCATGTATCTTTTACCAGAAATGGAAGCGGTATCGGACAAACTATGAGCAAATTTTTACCTTTTTTGGTGTGGACCAAGTTTTGCCATATCAGTAGCCAAAATAGAACAATAAAGGACACTCACATTAACTTAAATGACAAACAAAACTGATCAGTCAAAGAGTAAAGTATAATATAGCATCTTAACTAAAACAATCAGAATACTAAAAAACCATCTTCAGGATTGAACCATAGGCTCAGGTCCCGATGACTCCGGCTGTGATTTGTTGGATTGATGAACCGAATTAAAGAGGATGTCCTTGATAACCTAATAAATATCAACATCTATATGTTAAAACACCTTGTTACCGGTCGAAAAAAGCCTCCAAAATGTAAACAATAAACACAGAAGTAAACACTTCGATAATGTTATGAAAGAGAGAGAGAGAGAGAGAGAGAGAGAGAGAGAAACCGACCTGCGACATCAAACCATGGACTTGCTCCACCGTAATCTTTGCACTATCGCGTGTAATTTTGGCAAGTTGTGATTCTTCCTGTAATTAATGATTATATGGCATCTATAAGTTGCACAATCACAACAAGATGAATAGAAACATAAAGTTCTTTCTACATTTACTACTCTTGAAGTTTTTTGTAGTTAGACCCGGTTAATCAGACCATCCAAGACCAACAAAAAGAAGTTGGACTCGAGCAAAATATTAAACGACTCATTGTATGTGGTGTGCTACCCTGGTTATGTGTCAGCAGCCACGAGGATTTGGTTATGAGGCAGACTGTGGGCCTGTTTGTTAGCAGCTTAATGAGCTTAACAAGGATCACAGCTTATTCGATGACTGGTTGGGAGTAGCTTAATGATATAGCAAGTGGCTTATTCAGTAAGTTTCTACGGGAGAGCTTTATGCAGAAAGCCAAGTTTTATCCAAACCTGACCCTCCCAATTAAAAAACACGCTCAATCCCCTCACAAACAAAAACCTTCTCAATCTATAAAGACAGATTAATCCACACAGACAACTTTATCCGTACAGGACTTGATGGAAAACCAACCAAACAGCCTCTGTCTGTTATCCTGTTCAATAATGCAAGTGATTGTCCATAATTTGGATACCAAACTGCACATGAGAATGAATAGGGCATAGTATCCTCAGCTATCAACACCTTTGTCAGCTCAAAGGGTGTTTATCTACAACGTTATAACCTCAAACACTTGCCATAAACTTTAGAAGAACAGGGATCACACCATTAAACATGCATATGATTAGTTGGCAATGTTCATTTTACATCATAAACTACAAATTTATTGAGTTTAGACCTCTTATTGTAATTCAAAGAAGTTCCAAGGCATTTCAGAAGTTCTCCCCATTATAATTGATTAGACAGAACTTGGCTGTACAAATTTATCAGCGAAGAGAATCAAGATTGGAGAAACCAAAGTTATTGGTGGGACAAAATGACAAGGTAATGCAATTATCATACACTAGTGGAAAGCATCCTCCCATTAAAGATGTACAAATTCTTAACACATCTATTGCAATCAACAAGTTAAAACAGACAGGAATCATTGTACTTTCAGTTTCTTTTTCCAATTATGTACATGTACAAAAAGATATATCAATGTCATATGTATACTATACAAAACACGCCAATAAAACCCACTAAACACTTGATGGAATGTTGTAGGCACTTGAATCGCCTTAATGCCTACATGGTATATGCCAATGAGATGGCATAGAACCACACTAAACGAGCCCTATATAACCCACTCGGAGGTGGGGTCGGGGAGGGGTGACGTATATAGACAATTAGACATGACCTCTACCCTAGAGAGTAGAGCAGTTGTTTCCGTGAAGACCCCCTGACATGCAAAAAGTGTATGCGAATAAAAGTAAAGCAAGCCCTAAAAGGCTGAACAAATAGAAAAGAAAAGAAGGAAAAAGATGTTAATTAAGGCTAGAAACAAACTAAGAAAAGGAAACCATGGCAAAGGAAAAGTTTGTTGCACCAAAGAAACATAAGCAGGTACATGGGAACATAAAGAATGTAAGACAACGAGGCATCCCCTACTCTATCTTAGGGCTCTGGTGGCCTATCTCTTGGCTCCCTAACCCCCCCCCCCCCGCAAACAAAATCCACTACCTCTCTAGCGCCCTTCTTCCTTCTTAGCTAAGCTACCACAAACATACCAAAAGCATCCCAACCAATAAATTGTCATTGACTTAATTAACAGATTGCCTTTTTTGGGCAAGTTTGTGCCAAAGTTTAACAAATTACAGAACACCAAATCCCATGCATAAAGAGTTACAATACTCATCTGCAAGGAAAATATGTTACTGTTTTACGATACTTGTCGATATGTCATTGTCATGTAGCCATTAAGATGAGTCAAACTGTCAGGTCAACATTTTCTAAGGTATTTATATGTCAATTGCACGAAAGGGGTGCTCTTGATATTTTTGAGGTAGCATAAATACGACGAATATATCAAAACATGGAAGTATGTCTTTGCTTATTTTGTCAAACAACAAAAGAAAGTCAAGCAGAGCTATGTTTCAAAAATAGATGCAAGTAACAAAAAATTTCCTGATATGGGAACAAATAGAATACATATATAATTCTCCACGAAGGTCAACTCAGGGAAAGGCCAAGTTCACACCCTCGTAAAATCCTTAACTAGAAGCCCAACAGGAAGACTTAAAGCATTTCATGACAAAGAAGGAAGTAACTCACAAACGAATAATCCCTAATCCTATTGAAGTTCAAAATTTCCTATTAATGAAGGCAATATAGAAAATATGTTACCAACTGACCTCTTTCTTTCTTTGAGTGGGTGCTATGAGAGGACCGAAACGTGAATGGGACAATTGACCTTCAGCTTGCTCCAGTTTTTCAGCTGCGTGACAAGAGAGGAATAATATATTAGAATGCCAAACCAGAAGCAACCTAGTTAAGACATACATAATTAAGACAAACAGTGATACATCTCGAAGTAATCATAATGATAAAAATAATAATTACCAAGATCTGATATTTGTCCTGCAACATAGTCACCATTTCCAAGCAAAGGGGAAGAAGAAAGGGTATTCACCCAATACTTATTCCAAAGAAGATCCAACAAGTGACAATCAAGAGACGACTTGAAATAAGTGATATCCAGTGAGTAATACTGTTCACCAAAAATGCAAGGAAAGGAACAATTACTTAATATTAGAGGATCATATTATTACGAACTATTTACAGTCACAAAACATTCAAGGTATATCTGTTTTTTACTTTCAAGCCAATGGTATAACTGACCTGTTTGCAGTGAACACCAAAGTCTTCTATCTTGTTAAGAGGGATAGTCTGATATTCAGATACAGGCTCATCTGGTGGCTTATATCCCTCTGGATATGTCCTAAAGGCTCCAATTTCGACTTTTCCAGCAGAAACAGTCCTTGTTGGGTCAATCACGACTGCCAGAAAAGGCTCCTGAAACTGCTGGTTGAGCATTTGCGTGGAAACATCAATACCAGACAACCAGCATCCATAACCAGGATGAGAATGGTACCACCCAACAACATTCTCTAACCTTCCTGCCTGCACAACAGTATCCTAATCAGATTAAAAGCTCTACACTAGTGAATGGAAATGAACTAATGTGGACTGAAATGCAAAAATTAAATGAATTTGGGTTTTTCTCACATTCTACAACAGTAATGGTTTATTGTGCCGCCTATAAACACAAATACAACTATGGCTATTGACTTTCAGTCAAATACCCATCGGATCAATCATAAGAAGATCAAAGCTATTGATAGAAGTTTCAATTTAATAGCATTTTTGCATCCAAATACAAACTTCAAAAATTATGTGCTCTCACAAAATTTTGGGATTTAAGGGTTAGGGTTTATCGAATTCCAAAATCTATAACAAACAATCAACAAAAACAAAAAAGGAGTGAAATTGAAATTAAGAATAACCTGCTTATTAGTCTGAGAGTAATCAACCATATACTCATATGCATCAGCCTGAGCATTAACCCTAGTTTCCGTCCCTTCCACCGGCAAAGCAAACGCGTCCATAACAATAATAGCATCACCATCGGTCTTCCCTTGCATAAGCCCCATAACCTCTATGGTCCCACCAGAACGAGCATGAACCACCATTTTGAGTAACGCTAGAGCTGAGACTTTGACACGTTTGAAGTAGTGAGGATCGTTAGACCATGGTTTTTCTTGCTGGAATTTGGACTGAGCCGACTCGTCGTAGTAAAAGATGGCATCTGATTCAGAAGACTGTGGGGTTTCCATTGTTACGATGTTGTTTTCGAGCTCCCATGTCTGTTGAGCCATGGCCGCCGACGATGAGAAGGAGTATGGATCCATTCCACGGTGTTTCGGAAGTGGAATTGCTATTTCCGTTCTTTGCTTGATTCCATTCACCAAAGCTTATATAATTTGAGTAAACTACAAATTTGGTCCTTATAGTTTGTCAAAAATATCACTTTTTGTCCCTATAAGTTCTAAGTTATAAGATGGTTATCGTGGTTTGGGGTGCTTAAAATTCCGACCACCCAGACAAACCCGTCGCAAAATAACTCAACTCAAAGCAACCTAATATCTTATCGAGTTGTAATATTCAAACCGTAGGTATTGTGTTGGAATGGGTTATGGTCATTCGAACCCAACCCAACCTGATGAAGCTAATATCATTTTATTTTTTGGATTTAATATGATTATTAAGTAGATATTAATATGTACATTAGATAATTAAAGCATCATGTACCTTTTCACATACATGTGTTTCCATTCTCTTTTCCATCTCTATAATACTCATTCTTGTATATGTTCACTAAATTGTGAACATATATATGTGAAAATTGAGGAAATATAGCTGAATGTGATATACTTAAAATTTAAGAAGTATGAATAAGTTGTACCAAATGATGATGAAAAATAAATTACGATTAGAGAAAACAACATTTATAAGGTTAGAATTTTTTTTTGATGTAATAAAGTATCAACCCGACCAACCCATACGGTTTGGGTTGGGTTGAGATTTTTCAAACAACAAACATTAGGTTGAGTTGAGATTTTCCAAACCACAAACATTGGAAAAATTTTTCAAACTGCAAGCATTGAGTTGACGAATTGGGTTTAATTCGGTTGTTAGTGGGTTAGGTTGGGCAGGTTTTCGCGGGTTTACGGTTTTTTGTACACCCCTAATCTCAACCTCTGACCAGCATCTGCCAATCCTCGACAGAGCAAGACCGCGCCTATTTAGCCATCTCTATTTGCCCCGGATAAGATAAAGGACACCTGATAAATTATGTCTTTAAATGGGAAAAGTCTAAAAAACCCAATGGAATTTAGTGTTTGAAATTATTAAGTTCTTGGACAATTTTTTGGAACAAATAAGTTATTTAACATTACAAATTTTGTTGAATAACTTTCTGGACTTTCTAAAACCTGTTACATACATTTTTATGACCTATAAATCTGGTTAATGTGGTAAAATAATGGAAAAAGTCTAAAAAAAATCAATGAACTTTCATATTTTGAACTGTTAAGTCCCTAAACATTTTTTGAACAAAAAAAATACTTATATCTATAAAATGAAACAAATATACAAAAAAATATACTTACATTTACAAAAAAAGTACTTATATTTAAAAAAAGATTATTGATGAAATTTATTTTAATTGAAAATAATTGTCAGTGATTTTTCAAATTAAAAAAAATAAAAAATGATCACTGATTATTGATTAAATTTATTTTAATTAAAAAAAATATTTCATATATGGTTTCTCAAATTAAAAAAATAAAAGAAGATTTACAAAAATTACTGATGAAATTTATTTTAATTAAAAATAAAATATATTTCGTTGATAATTTTTTAAATTAAAAATATATAAAATAATTTGATTAAATTACTGACGGATTAACGATAAAATTTAACGAAATAAATAATTAATTAAAATTCGTTGCTAGTGTTCATTTGTATATATGCATGTATTACTTATATCTAATTGATGGCTAACTTGATCGCCGTCAGACGCTCTAACACAGTAACATGTTAATAAATGTGAAAGATCGTGCTTGAATCTTGTCGGTGATATCATTTCATCGAAGGATTAGCGATGAATTCTAACTAATTATGTGTTTAGTTAAATTTTATCATCAATCCGTCGGTAATTTAATCAATTTTTTTTTTAGTTTGAAAAATCACCAATGAAATATATTTTATTTTTAATCAAAATAAATTTCATCAGTAATCTTTTTTAAATCTTTTTTTATTTTTTTTAATTTGAAAAATTACATACGAAATATATTTTATTTTTAATTAAAATAAATTTTATCAGTAATCCTTTCTAAATATAAGTATTTTTTTTTACAAATGTAAGTACTTTTTGATATACTGTTTCATTTTATAGATGTAAGTGTTTTTTTGGTTCAAAAAATGATTCTGGACTTAATCATTCAAAATATAAAAGTCTATTGGCTTTTTTTAAACTTTTTTCATTAGTTTACCATATTAACCAATTATATATGTTATAAGAATATATCTAATAAGTTTTAAAAAATCCAAAAAATTATTTAACAGATTTTGAAATATTCAGAACTTAAAAACTAAACCATTTTAAACACAAAGTTGATTGGTTTTTAAATCAAATTTTTAAATCAATGGGAATTAAGGGTGCGTTTGGTACACTGGACAGGGACATGACAGAACAGGACAGAGATCCCTGTCCCATGTTTGGCAGAAATTTTATGTGGAATAGACAGGAACAGAGTGGAACAAAGTGGAACAGGCCTGTTCTACCCCTACCCCATGGAACAGGATTGAACAAGGTGGAACAGACTTATATTTTACCAACATAACCTCAAAATAAAACTTAATTCTCTTCTAAAACATCAAATAAGTCTCTCTTTTACATTTTATTCATTCTTTAAATTTTATTTTCTTAAACTTTCATTTTACTGTCTTCAAAATATTGTTTTTATACGTTTTCTATATTTTTATTAATTTATGTAATTTATGGTTATGTATGGTAGACGTGGGTGTAAAAGTAATGCAGTGAAAGTGTTTGATGAAATACCTGATCAGGATGTTGTATTTTGGACCGGTCGGATTGCTGTAGCTTTTGATTTTTTCGAAGCTTTTGAGATGTTCAAAAGCTGTTTTACGAAATAAACGAGTACACCTTGATAAATGTCTCATCTCCCATAGAAGGTGCTGAGATGTTGGAAATGGGAAAGCAGATTCATTCGCTTGTATGGAAGGCTGGGTTTTTGCTTGTGACTTCTGTTTGCAATGCCTTGATTTCCATGTATGCGAGGAGTGGCCAAACGCATGATGCTAGGTGGGTGTTTGATGAGATGGTTCATCAAGATTCTGTGTCATGGAACTCGCTGATTAGTGGCTATTCTCAGCATCATCTTTCTAACCAAGCTATTGAGTTGTTCTCCAGAATGCAAAATTCTTTGCTACAACCTAATGAATATAGTCTTGCTAGCATTCTTGAAGTATTATCAAACTTGAATTCTCTGAAGTTGGCAATGCAAATGCATTTACTTATGCTTAAACTTGGATTTATACTTACCGATTCTGTTCTTTGTCGTCTGATTACTGCTTATGGGAAATGCAATGGGATTGATAAATCAAAAAGCATATTCAGTGAGATTGATAGAGTAATGTGATACATGTAAATGAAATTGGCAGGAGCTTATGATCACTGTGGATGCTATACCGACATCCCTAGATGTTGACATCATAACTTTCAGTACATTTCTTAAATCTTGTGGAGCTTTATCGGACCTTCATCAAGGAAAATCTGTTCGTTTGTTGGCTATTAAAAGTGCAATTAGTGAGGATAAGTTCATAGAAAGTGCTGTTATAGATGTTTACGGCAAATGTGGTAGCCTAGAGGACGCTGCAAAGGTTTTCTTGAATGCAGCAGGCGACAGTTTAGTTGCTTGGAATGCCATAATTATGGGATATGCTCAGATTGGTTGCTATAGTAAAGCTTATGATCTATTTCAGCAAAATACCTGAATTCGGAATGAAACCTGATGAGATAACTTATCTTGGGGTTCTTAGTTCATGTTCTCATACGGGATTGGTACGTGAAGCACGTTATCATTTACGTTCTATGTTTGATCTTTGATCTCCATGGAGTTATCCAATGCTTAGAACATTATGCCTGCGTGGTTGATGTGCTTGGTAAAGTTGGACAACTTGATGATGCTAAAAAAAACCATTGATCTGATGCCATGTTCCCTGATGCCCGAATATGGCAGATTCTTTTATACGGAAATGTTGATATTGGGATAGTTGCAGCACGAGAACTTGTTGCTTTACAGCCTGAAAACGAGTCTAGTTTTGTTCTTCTCTCCAATCTCTATGCGTCTGCTGGAATGTGGAGTGATGTCAGACAATTGAGAAGGGAAATGAAAGATAAAGTTGTTTGCAAGGAACCTGGTTCTAGTTGGATTCAGGTAAAAGGATCCGTGCATTACTTTTTTGCCGATGATACATCGCATCCCCGGAATGAAGAAATTTACGTGGAGCTGGACACCCTGATGAAGCAGATGCTGCAATTACATGGGTCGGTAATGCCTTAAAGGTATACACTAGTGTTGACAAAAAGAATACAAATCATACAAGAAGTGAGATTAGGGTCTGTTTGTTAACAGTAATGAAGTTAATGGAACTGAGCTTATTCGATGAGCTATATATGGCTGTTTGGTAGTGGCTTGATGATATATAAACTATAAAGTGTCTTATTCAGTAAACTTCTAAGAGAGCTTTATGCATAAAGCCAAGTTTTTCCAAAATTGGCCCTTCCAATTAAAAAACTCCCTCAAATTATGAAAAAAACTCTTTCAAACAAAAACTTTCTGGTCTATATAAACAAATTAATCCTCACCAACAGCTTTATCCATACATGAATTAAAGAAAAACATCGTGTTACCTGAATTTCCACCTTACACAGGATATACTTGATATGATCCATTAGTTTTCTACTATGCTGACTTCATCAGCACATATTACAATAGCTTTAAGATAATCTTGATGATGGGATTGTTTAGGATGACATGTCAACATCGACATATAAACATATAATTCTATCGAGGATTGATTCTCGAGAAATTGACAAAAATAGCCAATCCATCAAAGTCAATTCACTTTTTAGCCATGTCTGGAACCCATTTCCCCAAATAGTCATAGTTACACAGAATGCCTAAGGATTGATTTCGGCCAAAATAAGATTTTAAAAACAAACCTTACGCAGAAACCTCTTTCTGCGTAAAAATTCAAATTTTTGCTTTTTTCTCCCAGAAATCAAATTTCTGCATAAACTTGAAATATTTTGGGAAGAGGCTATGAAAAGTGGCTAAAAAGTGAATTTGGTTAATG